AACTACCTCTGTTCACGGATGACAGGATCTTACATGTAGAAAACCCTGGAGAGTCCACAAAAAAACTGGTAGATCTAATAAACACATTTCAGCAAAGTTGCAGGATATAAAATCAACACACAAAAATCAGTTGCATTTCTATACACTAACAATGAACAAGCTGAAAAGGAAATTAAGAAAATAATTCCATTTATGATAGAAGCAAAAAGAACAAAATATTTAGGAGTAAACTTAACCAAGGAAGCAAAAGATTTACACATTGAAAACTACAAAATATTAGTGAAAGAAATGAAAGAAGACATAAATAAATGGAAAGATGTCCTGTGTTCAAGGATTGGAAAGCGTAATATTGTTAAGATGCTGCTATGGACTGAACTCTGTCCCTCCCAAACTCACATGTTGAAGCTCTAGCCCCTAATATCACTGTTTTTGGAGATGGGGGCCATTGCTGAAGTAATTAAGGTTAAATGAGGTCATAAGGGTGGGGTCCTGATACGATAGTATTAGTATCCCTATAAGAGACACCAGGGAGCTCACACGCACTTTCTCTCTCCGCCATGTGAGGAAAACAGCAAGAAGGCAGGTGGGCGTCTGCAAGCCAGGAAGAGAGTCCTCACCAGAATCTGACTATGCTGGCACCCTGATCTCAGACTTCTAGCCTCCATAACTGTGAGAAAATAAATTTCTGTCATTTAAGCCACTCGATCTATGGTGTTTTGCTATGCGAGCCTGAGCCGAACAAGACAAATGTCAATACTACCCAAAGTGATAAACAGATTCAACGCAATCCTTATCAAAACCCCCAAAACAGTGTGGTACTACCATAAAGAGAGATATCTAGATCAGTGAAGTAGAATGGAAACCCTCACATATATGGTCAAATGATTTTCAACAAGAGACCTAAGACCATTCAATGGGGAAAAGGATAGTTTTTTCAACAAATGGGGGTGGGAAAACTGGATAGCTACAGGAAAAGAATGAAGGTGGACCCTTACTTAATACCATATACAAAATTAACTCAAGATGGATGAAAGATCAAAATGTGAGAGCTAAAACTACAAAACTCTTAGAAGGAAACATAGCAGAAAATCTTCATCACATTGAATTTAACAATGATTTCTTGGATATGAAACAAAAGCACAGGCAACCAAAGAAAAAATAGACATGTTGTGGACTTCACCAAGATTAAAAACTCTTGTGCATCAGAGGACACTATTAACAGAGTGAAAAGGCAATCTCTGGAATGGGAAGAAATATTGGCAAATCATATATCTGCTAAGGGATTGATACTCATAATGTGTAAAGAACTCCTACAACTCTACAACAAAAAACAACCTGATTGAAAAATGGGCAAAGAACATTTCTCCAAAGATATACAAATGGCTAATAAGCACCTGAAAAAGATCCCAATATCACTCATCATTAGAGAAATGCAAATCAAAACCACAATGAAATACCACTTCACACTCATTAGGATGGTTATTATTAAAAAAAAAACAGGAAACAACAAGTGTTAGCAAGGATGTGGAGAAACTGGAACCCTTGTGCATTGCTGGTGGGAATGTAAAATGGTGCAGGAGCTGTGGAAAATGGTATGGTGATTCCTCAAAAAGTTAAACACAGAATTACCATATGATGCAGCAATTCTACTTCTCGGTACATACCCAAAAGAAGTGAATGCAGGGACTTGAAGAGATATTTGTAAACCCATGTTCACAGCACTACTATTTACAACAGCCAAAAGGTGCAAGCAACCCAAGTGGTCTGTTGATAGGTGTATGGATAAACAAAATGTGGTACATACGTACAATGGATTATTATTCAGCCTTCAAAAGGAAGGAAATTTTGACAACACTACAATATGGATGAATCATGAAGATGTTATACGAAGTGAAATAAGCCAGTCACAAAAGGACAAATACTGTATGACTCTATTTATATGAGGCACCTAAAATAGCTTAATTCATAGAGATGGAAAGCAGAATGGTGGTTTCCACGAGCTGGAGGGAGGGGGGAATGGGGAGTTACGATTCAATGGATAGAGTTTCAGTTTTGGAAGATGAAAAAAGTTCTGGAGATAGATGGTGGTGCTGGCTGCACAACAATATAAATATACTTAATGCCACTGAATGGTACACTTAAAAATAGTTGAAACGGTAAAATTTATGTATATTTAAATTTTATGTATATTTTTACGTATATTTAAACATTAAAAAACCCCAACAAACTAATGAGGTTGGTTACCTCTAATGGGTGAGTGGGAACAGTGTAGAAAGAACGGGGGAATGGGATTGGGAGAGAAGAAATGACGGAAGAGTGATTGGGTAGATGTTTTTGTCTAATTCTGACTTTTAGAACCATGGTAATGTTTCGCATAATCAAAAAATAATTAAAATCAACCAAGATGTGTGTATAAGGGGAAACCCAAAATAAAATACAAACAGTGACAAATGAACCTGTATTACAAAGGAGTAACATTACCATACAGAAGGGTGTAAGGAAAACTGTTCTTACACTGCACACTGTAAGACTAAAGACAAAAAGAACTGTATGGGGTATGGAGGTATGGGTTAGCAATTCTTTCTTTTCTTTTCTGAGGAAGATTCGCCCTGAGCTAACATCAGCTGCCAATCTCCCTCTTTTTGTATGTGTGCCCTGTCACAGCATGGCCACCGACAGATGGGCAGTGTAGGTTGGCACCCAGGAACCAAACCCGAGCCACCAAAGCCAAGAGCACCGAATTTAACCACTTATCCACCGGGGCTGGCCCCGCAATTCTTAAACTGCATTCTACTCAGGACTGAGCAAATAAATTAAATTAATAAATGGAGTGTGGTTAATGAGAGTCAAGTTTTTCCACTATCAGAGAAGAGAGATACAAAAAAGGAAATGGAGAAGGCTAGAATAAACAGTTTGGTGCTGAACTGGAATTGGAGATATCATACCAAATCACGGATTATCTATATAGGGATAGATATGTGTGCGTAGAGATACACACATTTCTAGCTGAGAGGACCTAGATGCAGTGACATCCCAGTAGCAATGAACATATCTAATCTTCTTTTCTAAATATCATTTTCTAACAAAAGGAGTCAATGCTCCCTGGGAAATTTGCTGGCTCCAGGACTGGGGCTGGGAAAGTACATTATCAGCCTTGTGGTGCCAGAAAATAAGAAAGTGCTAAAAAAAAATAAAGGGGATACATTGAAAGGACACAGATAGTCAACTTGAAGGGGCTCCCCATGGCCAAATCTGAGACAATTTGAGCAAGAAAAGTGATAGTAATGGATTATAACCTATAGCATTAAAAAAAAAAAAAAATCCAGTCCATACTTACACAAGTAATTTAGTAAATAAATGGAGGAGAAGGAAAATCTAACAGTAGGATTCTAATTAATATATATAGATGGAAGGATGGAAACAAAAAGATCACCGTTTGGCAAATAGCTGGTAATAATATTTTCAGGCAAGAATTCTCAGTGGATGTGAAGATTAGTAGGTGGAAGTAGTATGAGGAACAGGATATTTATATCGGGTTAAAGTACTTCTCTACAAGACATATATTAATTATAATGGGAAAAACAGTGACTTTGCAGCAATTTGCCCGACACCACTTCAACCAAGTTATTAAAGTTAACACCACTAATAACGAGACAAACTGACCTCATGGGTCTCCTGATATAATGCACTGAGGAGAACACATCACTTTTGGGGTATTCTTGCCCCAAATACATACTCTGAATTTGATCATGAGGAAGTATCAGACAACTTCAAATTGAGGAACCTTCTATAATGCAGAATCTACAAAATAAACGGCCAGTTCTCTTCAAAAGTGTCACGGTCATGAAAGACAAAGATTGAGGAACTGTGCCAGAGCAAAGGAGACTAAGAAGATTTACCAACTAACTGCAACATATGATCCCGGAATGGATCCTTGTCCAGAAAAAGGACACTAAGGGACACTGATGAAACTAGAATAAGGTTTGTAGATTAGTTAGTAGTAGTGTATCAATGTTAATCTCATGCTTTTGATTGTACTGTGATTATGTAAGATGGTAACATACGGAGAAGCTGGGTTAAGAGTATATGGGACTTCTATTTGTGCAACAGTTTTAAGTCTAAAACACACCCACATGTTTGGTGCTGCACAAATGGTCAGTGCCACACAAACACAACCACACATCCACTCGAGACATATAAGGACACAACCGCACAAACACAGACACCTCCACACCCTAATACACAGTAACAATCTCACACCCACTAAGAAGGCACACACAGTCACACAATCTACTCTCCAGCGGCGACAAAGTCACTCTTATACAGGATTATCACACCAAAAACCACAAATGCCCCACACACTCACAATCATGTTCCCACTTGGGAGGGGACACACAACCACTGGCACTCTACTCCAGCCCACTCAACATCAACCAGTCATAACTGAACATTCACTCTAGAGATACACACAGTCACACTCACACAGGCAAAGACATCCCACACTTGGACACGCAGCAGCGTTTCAAGACAAACTCTAAGGGAAACAGCAGGGTTACATATGCAGCGTCACCACAGTCATAGACACACGACAACTGCACACAGTACCACACACGGCCACAATATCATACACCCACCTTAGAAACACGTAATCATAATCACACAGACACCTGCACCCATCTCACAGTCACAGGTGCACTCACCCTCCCAAGAACTAGGCGTACAGTCACACACAGTACACAACAGGGACACAAGCAGTTATCATCCCCACAGTCACAAGGACCCCACACCGCAACACACAGCACCGCACATGGTTACACAAACACAACCAGACATACATCCTGGAGACAGGCAGTCACCACTGCACTCAAAGGCACCCACACCTGGTCACACAGCCACAGACTCCTTCAGAATCTCGCATCCTCAGCCCGCTCCCGCCTGCGCGCACAAACGCAAAGTTCTGGACACGCCCCGTTCCCGCCCCGGACTCCCAGACCCCTCACCTTCTGCCTCCCCTTGGTCGCGTCCGGGTCCCTGCAGAGCTCACAATCTCGCCACGACGTCAAGAGAGACGTAACGTTGGGCCGCTGTGGACTCTGGGAAACGTAGTCCAGAGCCACACCAGGCACGGACAAGATGGCGTCCTTGTACCTCAGAGTCTGAGTTTGGCCCGTCTGAAACTGCGCCCGGGAGGCTTCAAAGACGGAGTCCTCGCTCCAAACCTCCCACCAGGCTTGAGCTGATTTTCCTCCAAGGCAAGTACTCACTTGGAGAGCCCCATAATCACGGGAAGAGGCAGCCAACTTCGCGTGGGAGAGACAGAGAGCGATTGAGTGTCAACCAGCAAAGCCTTAAGGGAAATGTAGTCCAAGGCCGGAAAAGCGGCCTTGCTGTTGACAGAAGGTAATCAGATACCAACCAGCCTGGCCTGGTCGCGGTGACCGCGCAGGCCGCGTCGCGGAGACTTCTGGGAGTGCTCACTCGCCCTCGAAGTGCGCAAGCGCAGCGCAACGAGTGGACATTTTGGTCTTTGTCCGCGGGTCAGTCCGGCCCCTGGCTCCACGTGGCGCCAAAGTAGGAGGTGGGATGTGGGCGTCTTGGGCCGGTGGGGTCCGGGAGGTTGAAGTGAAGGATTCCGGATCTATTGGGGCGCGGCGCGGGGTGGGGAGTGGGTTTAAAAGCGTCAGGACTCCATGTGGGGTGGGGGTGGGGGCCTCTGAGGAGGGTTGGAGCGTGTGTGACCGCAAGTTTGACCGGATGTTCGGAATTACGGAGTGAGAAACTGGGTGCGGGATCGTGGGTGGCCGAGTCTGAGAGGGAGATGCAGGAGATCAGCCTTGAGCTAATAACATCTGAGCCGCGCTTCTCTTGTCGAAAGTGCTGATAATAACGGTGCCATCTTCCTGAGGCGTCTGTTTTACTGGAAGATTTGAAGGGGGAAAAAGCTAAGTGGAAAACAGTTTAAAAATGGATTTTTATATTAACACGCATTTCTTTTTAGTTGGGCTAGAATGGAAATCCCCGTGATTTCTTCTTTTTTTTAAAGACAATATTTTAAAGGAACTTTTCGTTAGTGGGAGTCTGGTTCAGACGATCTCCGATCTCCTGATCTTTGGGGTATTTTAATAGGGCTGCTGTTAAGTGCTGGACAAAATATCAGCGTTACACATCGAGACGCAGTGTCGTGTGGCGCAGAAAGCCCAGGATTAGGGAGTCAAGGGTTTGGAGTTCGAGGTTAGGCACATTGATCCACATTCTTTGAAGAGAACTTGGGGTTGCAGTTTTTTAGAGTGTAATCGTGTGAGTCTAGACTCGATTCTAGGTGTCCTAACTCCTAAATGAATCGAGGTGTTCCCACTTTGTATGGATTTTGTGAAGTAATGAAAATACATGTGTCTGCAAAGATGCTTTTTCTAAGGAATCCGCTCACAGTCATCCTTCGCGTAAATTTTAAATAATAAGAGTTAAAGTAGTTGGGTACCAAATTTAATATCTACAAATCAATAGCCTTCAGATAGCCAAACAACAGCCGGTTAGAAGACATGATAGAAGAATACCGCTATTTACAATAGCAATAAAAAATAAAATATTAAGGAATATTCAAAAAGACTAGAAAAGAATATTTTAAAGTGCTAAGGGTTATAACATAAGATGTGAACAGATAGATATACCATGTTTTTCAATAGGAAGACCTCATAAAGAAGTGTGCAAACTTAAGTAAATTTATTCGTTTAATGTGATCCTAATAAAATTGTCTACGGTTTTTTTTCTTTTGGATCTAGATAAGCTGATTCTGCACTTCATATGGAGAAATAAACAAGCTAGATTAACCAGTAAAACTCTGAAAAAGAAAAGCAGTTGCGATGTGGGGAGGTGGGAGCCCAACAGTGACATTTTAAAGTATAAATCCTCAGAAATTACAATAGTGTTGGTATCAGCTTGAAGCAGGCCTGTGAAGGGAAATCAGGCAATATCTATAATAAATACGAATGTGTTTTCTTTTTGACTCAGGTATTTCACATCTGGAAATTAGTCCTACAAATGTACCTGCGTTTCCATGAAATGATATCAGTGCGAGATTGCTGATGGCAGCAGTGTTTGGCATAGAAAAAGATTAGAGGGGTCGGCCCCGTGGCCGTGTGGTTAAGTTCCTGCGCTCTGCTTTGTCAGGTCAGGGTTTTGCAGGTTCAGATCCTGGGCGAGGACGTGGCACCGCTCCTAGGGTCATGCTGAGGCTGCTGAGGCGGCGTCCCACATAGCACAACCAGAGGCACTCACAACTAGAATACACAACTGTGTACTGGGAGCTTTGGAGAGAAGTAGAAGGGAAAAAAAAAAAAGATTGGCAACAGATGTTAGCTCAGGTGCCAATCTTTAAAAAAAAAAAAAGATTAGAAACTATTCACGCCCATCAGTAGGAGATTGGTTTCATAAAATTGTGATGCATCTATACAACAGAATAATATACAGCTTTACAAAAGAATGAAGAGGAAACTATATACTGACACTGAAATGAAATCACTCAAAAATGTACTGTTAAGTGAAAAAAAACAAGATGGAGAATGTATGATATGCTTCATTTGTATTAGGAAAAGAGAAATAAGAATATGTATTTGTATTTGTTTCCATTAAAGAACTCAAAAGATACACAAGAAATTAATAAAAGCTGCTATCTCTTTTTGGGATAGTGGTACTGGGATAGATAAGGCAAAGGCAAGTATTTTTATGTTGGTTTGTTTTCTAACTGTGAATTTAGTATACAAAAGTTAAAGTGATTTTTTTTTTTTTTAAAGGACGACGTAGGCCGTGGAGCCAGACTCCCTCTGTTAACTCATTCCTCTGTTGCTTTGTACATCTGTGGCCTTAGGCAGGTACTTGTGCCTCAGCTTCTCATCTAGTAATATAGAGAAAATAATAGTATCTGATTCACAGGTAGTTGGTTGTGTAGATCAGGGAGTTCTGCGTGCTAAAGAATAGTGCCTGGTATGTAGTAAGCACTGGATAAATGTTAAACAGTCCTGTTACTACTATCTGAAAAATAGTGTATCCTCAGAAATAATACAGCCATTCATACTGTTTCTGGTAGAAATTTCTGAAAGATTCAGATATGTAGATACTCTTATTTCCGTGTTTAAAGTATTGTGTTTTTTTTGACATTTCCTTTTATAGCTGGAATGAGGAAGTTAGATTTCTGTGTTCATCTTTAGAAACTCATCACTACCTCCTTCGTGAGATGTGTTCTTTGATTTCTATGGTTACTTTTTCATGGTTCTAAGTCAGAACCTCTGATGATGTTTTTAAAAAGTTCCAATTGTGACTGACTTTTGGCCAGAAGACATCAGAGGTGACCTTTCAATTGCATAACATCAGAAGAGACATAACTGTATGACTGGTCCACCATTAGTGATTGTATTTTTAGGGCCAAAATGTAATCTGAATAGTTTTACTTTAGTCCCATACAAATGTTTATTTCCCATCAATCATTTAATGGATGATTTTAACATCGATAAATAATCCTTGGCTGAACAGTAATTTCTTCATGGGTTCCAAAGTGATGATTTTTTACTTTTTCCTTCCTTTTACATTTATTTGATTGCAACCTCAAATTGTGTCAAATTTTTCCTGTCTTTTTCTTATTTAAGTACTATTTTAAAGTTGTGTTCTAATAACTGCAGCTAGTTTTTCTCAGATACTCTTATTATCACAGTTTTAGCCAGTGGATGCTTCTTCAAGTTGACTTCTGTCCCAATTTGACTCCTAGAACCTTACTTAGAGTGTAGTATTGAATATTTGATTTTTTTTTGCCAAAGGCATAAGTGAAAATTGGTATCTCAGTGTAGGTTTAATTTGCATCCCTCATTATGAGTGAGGTTGGGTATCTTCCATACATGTAAGGGCCACATGTATCTATTGGAATTGTCTGTTCACATCCTTCTCCACATTTTTGTATGGGATGTCTTTTTCTTTTGGGAGCTGTTAGAAAAGTTAGCCTTATATGAAATGAGTTGCAGGTTTTTTCAGGTTTTAAATTTGTGTTTTGACATTGTTCACGGTGGTCATTTCTTTTTCTAAACTGCAGAATCAGGAGGTTTTTATTTTTATGTACTTCAATTTATCAGTCTTCTCATTTATGGTCGTAGTCAGAAAGCCCTTCCCACTCCAGGTTTCACCTATACTTTCACATCCTTACAAGGTTATCATTTTTATAGGATTGCATTTTCTTATTTATATTTTTAATTCATTTAGAATCTACCCTGGCATAAGATATTAGGTATGCATCAAGGCTTATCTTTTTCTAATTGGCTACTCAGTTCTTCTAACACTATTTATTAAAAAGTCTTAGCTTTACTATTTTAAAATTTCATTTTTATCATATACTGAATTCTTGTATGTATTAGGTCTATTTGTAGACTTTATGTTCTCATCCATCTTCCAGTCTGTCTTCATGTACCAATATTTAACTTTTTATTATTGAGATTTTATAATTTTGTTTTAATACCTGGTATTGCTCGTCTCCTTATTGCTTGCCTTTTCAGAGTTTCCTAGCTATTCTTGCTTATTTATTTTTCTATGTAAACTTTAGAATGAGCTTGTCTAGTTCTAGGGGAAAACACTTATATTTATTGATATTGCATTAAACTTATGAAATAACTTAGAGGAAAGGGACATTAGATCTTTATGATTTTAAATACTCCTATTCCTGTACATAATATATTCCATTTTCCTTTTGGGCTCTCTGGAGTGTTTAAAAATTTTCTTCATATAGGTTTAGATACTTCTTACTAAGTTTATTTCTAGGTACTTTATCTTTTCTATTGCTGTTATGAATGGAGTCATTGTTGTGTTAAATATGAAGCTTATTTTTTATTCCCTGCTTAACTTACTGAATTATTGTTTATAATTATATTAAATACTAATTGAGGCAATGGGCGTTCTTATCTTTATTTAGAATTTAATAGAAATGCCTTGGGGCTGGCCTGGTGGTGCAGCGGTTAATTTCGCATGTTCCACTTCGGCGGCCCAGGGTTTGCTGGTTCGCATCCCGGGTGCGGACATGGCACCGCTTGGCACACTGTGCTGTGGTAGGCGTCCCACATATAAAAAAAGTAGAGGAAGATGGGCACGGATGTTAGCTCTGGGCCAGTCTTCCTCAGTAAAAAGAGGGGGATTGCCAGCAGATGTTAGCTCAGGGCTAATCTTCCTCAAAAAAAGAAGAAAGAAATGCCTCCAGTATTTTTGCATTAGATAAAATGCTAGCTTTTGTGGTCAGATATAGTTTACAATTACATACATGTAGTATATACATATATGTATACACACACACACACAGATAGATTACCCATGCTGCTTGGGTCTCAGGGATGTGAGTAGAAACAAAAAGTTTTTGAGGCTGAGGCCAGATGTAACAACCAGGAAAGATCACATTAATCAAGGAAAGAAAAACCCCTTTGAACTCTGATACTGCAGTCTTAAAAGAAAAGTCAAACAGAACAAAAATAAGATGCTCAGTAAGTTGTTTTTCCTATTCTGTTTTCTTTCCATTCCCTTCTTTTGGGTGACATTTCTTTACTCAGTTTTACCTTTTTTACTGTTTTATCTTTTGTGTTCTTTTTGTAGCTTTGCTTGCTTCTTAAAGTTTTTGTGTCTTTTTTTAAAGATTCATTTTGTTGTGTTTCATTTTATTGTCTGCTTTGTGGCAGTATTTTTCAGATGAGTTTATTTAACTGTTATTTTTTATTAACTGTTGGGAAATTATGCTATTCATTTTCACTCTTCTTACAGTATCCTTGTGTGGACACAGACAAATTATTTTGTCTTACTCATGTTTGTATGAAATAGATTTTCTTAGACAAGTACCAGGAAAAAGGAGGCATAGTAACATTCTATGCTTCCAAGTTCACATACCTCCTCTTCTAGTGTTTAAAGCAAAGGACTTCCGTACCTTCTCTGGCTTGATGACCCTAACCTGGTTGAGGTCAACTTCTATCTCTGACTCTTTGTTTCCCACAATTTTTCATAGTACTTACCTTCACTTTTAGAAGCCTGCTCTTTCTCCTTCCCCCTGCAGTCCTTTTCTGTTTAATCTAGGTCTTGCTTTCATCAGTTCCTTCTTAGGGTGAGGCCTACTCATTCTGTAAGGAAATAGTAGCTGCAGATTTCTGAACTCTTGTGAGTCCTTAGAATCCCCCTCAGCATTCTCAGTTCTTCCTAGGCTTCTTTGCAACTTCCTGTTTAGCCTCCTGTTTGGGTCTGCCTTTGGCAGAGGTACATGGAGTGTGGGAGTTTTTCTGTCCCTAGATTTGTTGTTCGTTGTTAGATTCAGTTACAACAATTTTCGCTCAGGGTGAATCCCTCACTCTGAGAATGAATATTTAGAGTTAATATATATTCTCTCCACTAGTTTCACTAAAGATAGAGTATATGGATTGAGTACTTGGTTCCCTCCCCCTCCACCACCATTATTGATGTTTTGTATTGTTTCAGGAGAAGTACTTGCATGATTCAAAACTAAGCAGCCATCATGCTCCTGTGAAACCTTGCCTTGCCTCCTTGAATGTTGATGTTCTAGGATTCTGTCCTTGACCATCTTCACGTACTGTGTATATTCTCTATAAGCAGTCACAGTAACAGTGCACCTGTGTGTTCAGGAGCAGTGATATTCTGACAGCTGACGAATTCCCATTTCCATGCTAGGCCTATTCTAAGTTCCTCATCTGTATATGCAGTTGCCTAATGGATATATCTGCCTGCATGTGCCTCAGAAACCTGACACTCTGAATATCCAGAATATCAAACTTGACCTCCTTCCTCCTGCAGATTGTCTCTGGGCAACTCACTCTTTCATGTTTCTCTCTGTGTACATTACTGTTTAAATCAGGCTCTAAGCCTTCCATCTCTGCCACACTCCAGTACAAAGTGGTGACCGAGCTTTTTCAACACACACAGCAGGTAGTATGTGTTGATCTCAACTTTGTAGAAAAGTTGGAATAGTACAGAGAACTCTCGTATAACCTTACCCAAATTCGCCATTTGCATTTTCTCTTTTGCTTTATTTTTCCTTCTCTCTCTGCCAATATGTATGTGTGTAATTTTTCCCTGAACCATTTGAGACTAAGTTGGACACATGCTCCCTTTATAAATACTTCAGCATGAATTTTCTAAGAACAAGGACATTATTTTTCATAACCACAGTACAGTAATCAAAACCAGAAAATCTAACATCAATACCTTACTATTATTTAATCCAAAGTTGATATTCAGATTTTGTCAGTTGTCCTAATAGTGTCTTTCAAAGTCTTTTTTTGAATGACTGGATGAACTTATGTTTACAGGACATTTCTAATATATAGTTTTACTCAGAGTATAATACAAAAAAAGTAAATATTAGGACTCCAGGAAAACTTTCTGAGTTTTTATTCCTGAATATTGTCAGAACAACTTCCTACACATTGTGTCCTTGTGGCTTGGTTCTGATAGGCGTATGTTGCTGTAGTATTAGATGTGAGTATTGAATTCATCCAGGAACAAGGGCCGCAGTTAAAATCCACTCAAGAACGTATGCAGGAGAGTGGTGCTAGAGAACAATAGCAGCCAGTCACGTGAGGCATGAACAGTTTTCCTATGTAAGTAAAATTCTGAAAGTAAATTCCCCTTTTTTCCCCATTTCTGGATCTGTGGAGACTTACATGATTGAATGAGTCTGGCTTTGAAATTCAGGATTCAAATAATCTTAGTCCCTTTGCTCATATAATTGTGTGTACTTTAATCTCTAAGGCAAAAGGTCATTACTTTGTTCTTTTCCACAGGGCCGCTTCCTTCTGCATCCCTGGAAACTGCACCTTCCTCGTTCTTCAGAAGGCTCCAGGGCTCAGTCTGAGTTCCAGGATGGTACTTTGGCCCCAGCATTAACATTCTAGTGCTGTATCATTTCCCCAATAGCAGGTTGTAAACTGAACAAGCTGTATGTGATCCTCTGTTGGAACAAGAAGACAGCTCTGAGTGGTGGAAAAGAAGTGGATAGGAAATTTGTCCAGGTGAGTGAATGACAACCAAGCAGGTTGCAGTTGGTTAGTCAGCATTGACCCCTCTGGAAGGCTTTTAAAGCTGTTTTCTAATAGGCCCTAGTCTTCAAGCATCACTTGGTATGAATTCTTGAGATACTTGAATGGCATTTCCAATTATCATTTTCTCTATTTTAGTATTCTGCTTCATCGTCAGATTCTGAGGGTCTGGTGCCTGTCTTATCTCTATTCTGGATGTCAGCACTTTGTACTTCATTTGTACTGCCTCTGTGTGCTTGTTCTCTTTTTCATTAACGCCCTCAGTCTCATATTCCCCCATGTATATAGACTCCTTTCCTCATGCATTGTGTTTTATAGGTCTTAAGTCTTTACGTATTGTCTGACATTTAGGTTCCTTTCTATTACCACTTTCTCTCATTCTTTCAGGGGTTAAATGCCTCAGAATTATATTTTACATCTGTAATCATACTTCCTGTTGTCTTCTTATCCACCTCTCCCATTATACATCGACAAACTCCTGCCTCCCTCACTTCCACCGCCATATACCTCTCAGAAGTTGTTGCCTTAGAAATCAGTTCTGTCTGTCTGCTGTGTGTGTCTGTATGAATGTATGAACCTGTATTTGTTTTTTAATGTAAAACATGAACTTGTAAACATTTTTGAACATCAAATTATACAGTGAAAAAGTCCTCTCTTACCTCTGGTCCTCAGTCCTATGGTTCTTTTTCAGAGAGGCAGTCACTTTTAAGAGTTTCATGTATCCTTCTTGAGGTAGTCTGTGAATAAACCAGCATATATTTTGTATCTCTGCTGCAAATATGAGTATATATAAGCCCTCAGTTTTCCTTTTCATATATATGATGGTATGTATTGTATTGTGTAGTTTTTTTTTCTGAGATTCTCTACCAACACATAATTTATTTAACCTGTCTCCTATTTATGGACATCTAGGTTGTTTCCAGGCTTATGCTATTAAAGACACAAGTGCATTTACCTGTTTATATTGCTTTGCAGAGAGATGCAGATACAACTGTGTAATAATTTAAGAAGAAATGCTGAGTCAAAGTTATGTTTGTTTATAGATTTGATACAAATAGGCACATTGTTCCCAAAAGGAGTAAACCAATTTATATTTCTGCCAACATGGTTTATTCATATATTCATCAAGTATTTATTGAATGATGTGTATTAGGCACCATTTCAGGTACTAGGGAAATGTCAGTGATCAAAGCAATCAAAAATACCTCCCTCGGGCTCATATTCTAACTGGGGAAGGCAGATGATGAGTAAATAAGTAAAAAATATATTCTGTCAGATGGTAGTGCTATGGAGAAAAATCAAGGAAAATTGGCATGGAGAAGGGCCAATTGGGAGTTACAATTTTAAGTAAGTTGGTCAGGGTAAGGTCTCAACAACAGGATGACATTTGAAAAAAGATCTAAAGAGTTTGAGAGTGGGGTGTGCAGTATTTGGTGCAAGAGCGTTCAGCCAGAAGGAACAAAAAATTTTAAAAGCCTTGAGTCCGGAACTTGCTGTTCAAGGAATAGTGATCAGGGCAGCAGGCTGCAAAAGGGAATAAGAGGCAGTTTGGTTGGCTCACAGGCCAAATCACACACTTTGGCCTTTATTCTGAGTGATTTGGGTAACTATCAAAGGGTTTTAAGCAGAGGAGTGATAAGATCAGAATTACATTTTGGCTGATGTATAGAAAATAAGGTAGAAGCGGCCAGGGCTAGGAGATTACTCAGACGCTAATATAGTAGTAGTTGAGCTAGTGACAAGAAGTTAGGTTTTTAAGATATCTTAAAGGAATAGCTGACAGGATTGGCTGATAGATTGTATGTCAGTTATGAGAGAAAAAAGGAGTTATTGAGGACTCCAAGCTTTTAACTGGAAGAGAATGAGTTACCATTTACTGAGATAGAAAGACATCAGGAATTTTGGGAGATAGATCAAGAGTTTTCTTTTGGACTTCTTAATTGTGACGTGTCTCCTTATCATCTAAGTGCATATTCAGGCAGGCAGTTGGATATACAAGTCAGGAATTTAGGGAGACAGAAAGTTCTGACCTCTTCTCTTCTGCTATAGTAAGAGGCTTTTTTATTCAGTGATGGTGTCTCTGCATTTCCTTGCTCATTCCTGCTTTTCCTACCTTCAGGGATGCCAGTGAGTCCACCATGTCTCCTGGATGGAGCCTGCATTCCTGGATTCTGTTATTAAAAACAAGCAGGTGGTAATTTGGCCCTTGAGGCTGTGCCTTATGTTTTTGGAAAGCATTGTGCTTGAGGGCTCTATTTCAAAACAGCAGTGGCAGCTGTCTACTCAGATCCTTTCTCATAAGACAGTAGCCTTGGGGCTGCTTCCTACTCTTATCAACAGTGCAGTTTTCCTTTTTTTCTGTTTCTGTTTGTCTTTCTCAGACATGGAAAGTGGGCAGAGATGTCTTTATTTTACCATTTGAGAGGAAAGAATCTGTGTTATGTTTGAGTAACCCCTCAAGGAATTCTGTCCCACTTCTGTTGGATTGGTGCTTTGATCACCTGATATGTTGCTTTATCTTTCATAGTGCTGCTTTGTCCTTTGCTTTTATTTTTTCTTCTCTCTCTCCTCTTACTGGAGATGACTCCTAGAACACTGCATTCTGCCTTTCCTCCCTCCCTTTATAAATTAATTCCCAGAAAGGATGCATCCATTCTGAAGTTAGAAGTAATTCTTTTTATGATGTCAATTTTTATTTTGGCACCTCCAGCCTTTCTATCTTGCCTGCTATAATTTTATGTGTTTATAGGATAAACAGCATCTGATTTCATTCTCATTGTGTCAGATGATTAAATCATTAATTTCCTACCCAAATTAGAGATTTCAGTTCATTATTTTCAGGTCTAGAGATCAGTTCAAACCTGTTTCATATTATGTCTGGACTATTTCTTTTCTCATGATCCTTGTGATATGGTCAGTCAAGCCTTTAAAAAGATACACTTCAGTGTAATCAAGAGAGGACATACTAACCATAAGAATATAAATGTGAACATATTTCCTTCTCTCTATAAAAGTCTTTGAATTTGAATTTCCATCTTAGCCTTTGATTATAAAATGCTCTTCCTATTCAGGTTACACTCATCATTTAAACCTGTTAGTTGCTCTTCTGTTGATCTCCCTTCTGATTGTTGTCTGTTGTCTGTTGTTGTCTGTTTAGTCTTTAAAATCTAAACTGTCCTCCCTCCTTTTCCCCCTTGATATTGCCCCCACTATTTTAATAATATGTACTATCAGCCATTCAAAGAAAAGAGTAGAGCCATTAAATCCAGCATCTCAGGGTATAGTTAGGATGTTAAGACCTTTAAGTACATACAAATTTGGGTTTAAAAATATTTCATATGGAACACTTTTATTTTAGGAAAAGTGAATCCGATTGTGATTAGAAGCTGTGGGGAAAGATGTTTATAAATAAGAGACAAGATTGAAGAAGTCTTTTTAGGGGCATGTTACTGGAGCTGCTTCCAGGAGGTTCTGTAGATTCTAAGGAGGTTGAAAATAGGAGAGGTCAGGCTAAGCCAAAGGACAGGAAGAACATACTATGCATAGTTGTGACTCACTGGTTGTATACTTAACACGCTTGTCAGGCTGTTCCTCAGGGCCTGTGAACTTTAAATTCTGCTTAGAATGCTCTTCCTCTGGATGTCTGTAAGGATCACTCTCTTCTTTCATGTCCTGAATCTTTCCTTCTCAGAGGCCACTATATCTAAAATTGAAATTCTTTACCCCTTCTCTAATTTTTTTTCATAGCACTTAGAACTTTTTGACAAATCATCTCCTTTATTTATTTGTTTATTATCTGTCTCTGTCCACTGGAATGTAAACTTGATTAGGGCAGAGAATTTTGTCAGTTTTGTTCAATACTGTTTATCCCTAGAAGCTTAGAACTGTGCCTGGCACATAGGAAAAGAGAGAAAGATATTTGTTGAATGAATAATAAGAAACGTTTTGAGTAGCAGTTGTCAAACTTCTTGGTCTCAGTAACTTAGGTTTCTTTTTTTTTTTTTAATAACAGCTTTAGTGATATATAATTCATATAACATAAAGTATACTCTTTTAGGGTGTGCAATTCAGTGGTTTTTAGTATATTCACAAGTTGTGCAACCATCACTACTATCTAATTCTGGAACATTTTCATCGTCACAAGGGGAAACTCCATACGAATTAGCAGTCACCTTTACATTGTTAAAACTTCAGGAACTTCCAAAGACCTTTGGTTTTTGTGGACTTTAGTGATATTTATGTTGTTTAAAAGTAAAATTGAGAAACTTTGAAAAATATTTATTTATTTAATGATCCCCTTACATGGGAACTTAAATTACACTTCTTAATAAAAATAACAGTTTTCCAAATTAAAAAAGTTTAATGAGAAAAGCGACATTGCAGATTTGTAAATATCTACTGTCTGGTTTAGTAGAGGACAGCTGGATTCTCATTTCTGCAGAGTTTTCAAATGTTGACACATCTTATTATACAATATCAAAACATATTTGTTAATATCATTACTGATCGCATTAGAAAAGTCTTTGAAGAATTGAGACGCTATCATCTCCCGGTGAAGGGAAGATATAGGTTTTCCGAAATGCTAATTTTTGCTTGAAAACTCAAATTTTATCATTGGCAACATATGCTGTCCTTTGTTTTCCTTGAAATGATTTTCTCACTTCATTCTGTCAAAGTACCTGCCAAATAATACCTGTCTAAATAGCTCTAGTTTGTAAGTCAATCATTTATTAATTTATTTAAAGTAAATTAATGGTGCTCCGTGAAAAAGGTTGGCTAGTTTAGCTCACAACATAAATGATTTGCCCAAGTGCTCTTCCTTGAGACATCTATCATCCTTTGGTGTACAGTAGAAGTACTTGTGTATTTGTATAAAATTACATTTATTTTTATACTTTTTTTTGCTTTTTGTGGAATTGATATTTGCCGCACTTTTTGTTTGTTTCCTTGGTTTTCTGCATTTAGCACAGACTCCCTTGGACTTTCCTCAGAATAGTTACAAGCCCTCTCAATACTAGTTTCCACATGGTCAAATGCATTGGGAAATCTCTTCCCATTTTTCCCCATGGAGATATAACTCCTAGAATTTTTGTTCTCCTGCTCCAATCTGGACAGGTTATCCTCTGACTCAATAGTCACCTCTTATCTTGTAGTTTCTCATCACCATTATCAAAGAATTTTCTTTATTTTCCCTATGGGTTACATCTCTTCTTTTTTGGATCCTATATCTGTTGCCTTCTCTGTCTTCTAATTTTGGTGGAGCACATCTTTTAGTAGCGTGTAGCATCCTGAGAGGAAAGGTGGATTTGAGGTAAAATTTTTCATCATTTGCATATCTGAAAAATGCCTTTGACTGTCCATTAGATTGATAGGCTAAGCTTAGAATTTTTCCCTCAGAATTTTGTCTTCTAACTTCCCCTGTTTCTGTTGAGAAATTTGATGCCATTCTGATTCCTGTTCCTTTGAATGATACATGTTCTTTTTTTCTGAAAACATTTACAGCCTCTTTATTTTTCCTTTTGAAATGTCATAGTGGTGTGTCTAGTTATGCATCTTTTATTATTCGTTGTGGAGGGTACTGAGTGGGCCCTTTAAGTCTACAAATTCATGGCTTTAGAGGACAAGAAGTTTTTCTGTTCTTTGAATATTTCCTCTAGTCAGTTTTCTCCTTTTATTTTCTGGAACTTCTTTTACTCAGCTATTATATTACTTTGGTTTATCCTCTAAATTTGTCTTCTTAAAGCTTCTATCAGGAAATGATACTGTTACTTGTGCTCATATTTTATTGGCCAAACAAGGTATTTGGCCATGCCTGAGTTTGCTAGGGTTAAGTAATATAAATCCTTCTTCAGTAAGATGACTCTGTTACTGGTGAATGATAATACAGTCTACCTCCCCTTCTCCCCTCCCCATAGTTTTAGTTTCTAAGGGAACTTTTTGTTTCTTGCTTACAAAACCCTGTTATTGTTTCACTGATAAAATAATCTTCTTGTAACTGTCTGATTGGTTTTAGGGTTTGTTGTTTGCTATGCCTTTCCTTTTATCAGACTTTCTTTTTCTCTTGATGTTTCTCTGTCTTTCATGATAGTGGAGTTCCTCAAATGTGTGTGGAATATTGGCTGCAAGGTCATGTTTAAGAATGATTCACTGAGGCCAGCCCCATGGCCGAGTGGTTAAGTTCACGTGCTCAGCTTCAGCGGCCCAGGGTTTTGCTAGTTCGAATCCTGGGTGCAGACATGGCACTGCTCATGAGGCCACACTGAGGCGGCATCCCACATGCCACAACTAGAAGGACCCACAACTAAAAATACACAGCTGTATACTGGGGGGCTTTGGGAGAAAAAGGAAAAATAAAATCTTAAAAAAAAAATAAAAGAATGATTCACTAAAAGGTGATCTTAGGCTTTCTTGTATTGGATGCTTTTTGTCGTCTGGTAGGCTTTAATGGATCAAAAGTATAAGGCCTCATGGATCCCAGGTCTCCTCCCTGCAGAAAGCTTATACTGCCTTACTCTCACAGACTCAGGTGGGGCCAGGTCCTTTGTTTTGGTGAAAAAAATGGGTACAGGTGACAAATACTGTCTTGGAGGGGCGTCCTGCCAAGGTTTTTCATGGGCCTTTCAGGTTCTCCCAGAGAAGGATTCTTTCATATCTTGCTTATGGGTATATGTACCTGGTTACCAACATGTCTTGGCCTCAGTTGCAGAATGGTGCTGGAGGTCTCACCATGTTATGTATAGTTTTAATTCCATTGATTTCAGTGTATTACCTGTGCCCTGTTGCCTTGTTTGTTGGGAGTCCTTGAGTTGAGCTTCTCTGTTTAAATTTCTGCAAAGAATAATTTCCATTTCATACAAGGAATAGACCTTTGCCCTCTTGACTGGGAGGGTCAAGGTCCAGCTGCACCTTATACAATCTTTTTCTTGGGTACCATCCTTTATTCCTTCTCTTGAGGTACTTGATTCCGTCCATTTCCTGAGTCTTTCTGATATTTCATGGCGCAAATTGGCTTGCTTGACATTGGCCCCCTCTTCTGCAGTACCTTTATGTTACTTGAACTACCTCAGGTCTGCTGTGTGTTGAAAATCTTCCATGTGCTTTATTATATCGAAAAATTTGTTAATATCTGTATTTACTGATGTCTCCTATCATATTCTGTTTTCTTGTGAGTTTGTACCATTTTCTTTTTTCTTCTCATTTTAATGGGGTTTTGGGAGGAAGAAGATGTTGGTTATTCCTTTCCTTTTCTTAGGTATCCCAGGTAGACTTTCTCAGTTTTATGTAGTCGTATTTTTAATCCTATTTGTTAACTTTTCATTGTTTGTTACATTTAATTTGCTGAATTATGAAATGGGAAGGGTTATTTCTCAAGAGTAGTCTAAGCTTTATGTACCCATGAATGTTAATTTTCTACCCAGATATCCTCCACAGGAGTTTCCTTCTTGGAAGTTAGTTGGAGACATTGGTCATGAGGATTCTTTCATATTGTGAGATGGGCTAACCAGAGTTAATCCCAAAAAAGCACAATATGAAATTTTATTACTAGTAATGGGAAAATTCATAAACAATGATGATAATTAAAGCTAACATTTATTGAGTGCTTACCATGTGCCAGCACAGTTCTAAGCACTTTATACATTAACTCCTTTAAATGATCATTCTTTGTACTCCATTTTAGAAGAAGCCTGAGAAGATGATGAGCAGATAGAGAGGCAACAAGACTTGCATCCATCTCCAATAAAGTACAGACTGAGGAAAAAAGCAGTGAATATAAGAAAATTGGAAAAATACTTCCTCTGATCTCAGACTTTACACCTTTTAAGGCAACACCTTTATCAACTTACCTAGAAAGAGTTTGAAACAATTTAGATTTAATCATGAGGAAAGTTGTGTAGGAAAGAATCATCAATTTACTTAGTTTGGAAATCCTGCCACAGCTTATTCTTTATGATAGTAACCCCCTTTGAGTGTAAATCAGTGTGGAAATGCCTTCAATTAAAAAAAATTTGAAACCCGTCTGATACCAGAGCGTTCATACTGGAGAGAAACCTATGAATGTACTGAATGTGGGAAAACTTTCACTCACATATCACCCTTCATTAAATGTCGAAGTCAGGCTGGAGCGAAACCCTGTGCTTCTAAGGAATATTGAAAAGCCTTTAGCTAGATGACAGATTTCATTGAGTAGAAGAAAATTCACCTGGAGAGAAACCAGTGACAGTAACAAAACTTCACTGAGTAGTGGAAAATTTATACTTGGAGAGAAAGCTTTGAATGTACTGAGTATCGTAAAATTTTCTCTCAAACTTTAATCCTTACCCTACAATTGAAAAGGTCATACACAAAGAACTCCTACAGATGTAAGAAATGTGGAAATACCTTCAGCCTAAAGTAAATCCTCATTCATCAAGAAATTCATACTGGAGAGAAACCTTGTGAATGTGGGAAAGCTTCCATTCAGATGTCACACCTCAGTCAGCAGAGAATTTGTAGTGGGGGAAACCCCTTTGCCTGTAAGGTATGTGGGAAAGTCTTCAGCCACAAATCAAATCTCACAGAGCATGAGCATTTTCATAATAGAGAGAAACCTTTTGAATGTAATGAATGTGGGAAAGCCTTCAGCCAAAAGCAGTATGTCATTAAACATCAGAACACCCATACTGGAGAGAAGCTCTTTGAATGTAATGAATGTGGAAAATCCTTCAGCCAGAAGGAAAACCTCCTTACGCATCAGAAAATTCACACTGGAGAGAAACCTTTTGAGTGTAAGGATTGTGGGAAAGCTTTCATTCAGAAATCAAACCTCATCAGACACCAGAGAACCCACACAGGAGAGAAGCCCTTTGTATGTAAGGAGTGTGGGAAAACCTTCAGTGGCAAATCAAATCTTACTGAGCATGAGAAAATTCATATTGGAGAGAAACCGTTTAAATGTAGTGAATGTGGAACAGCTTTTGGCCAGAAGAAGTACCTCATAAAACATCAAAACATTCACACTGGAGAGAAACCGTATGAATGTAATGAATGTGGAAAAGCCTTCTCTCAACGAACGTCACTTATTGTACATGTGAGAATTCATTCAGGTGATAAACCTTATGAATGCAATGTATGTGGAAAAGCCTTCTCTCAAAGCTCGTCTCTTACTGTGCATGTGAGAAGCCATACAGGGGAGAAACCCTATGGTTGTAATGAATGTGGGAAAGCCTTCTCTCAGTTCTCAACCCTTGCTCTGCATTTGAGAATACACACAGGTAAGAAGCCTTATCAATGTAGTGAATGTGGGAAGGCCTTTAGCCAGAAGTCTCACCACATTAGACATCAGAAAATTCATACTCATTAAAAGCCCTGTGAATACCTTGAAAATGGGAAAGCATTCATCAGGAATTTACACCTCCTAGCACACCAGAAATAATTGTTCTGAAGGAAAGCATCACAATGAGGGAAAGAAAAGCTAAAAACTTATGGGACACCATGCCGAGAAGGACATTTGTATGATAAAAATCCTGTGCTCAATGAAAAAACCTCCAGCAAAGGTAATGCTGAAACTTAAGACACATTACCACTAAAATTGGGAATGGAAAACATGCTTATTGCTATCTGCATAGATCTGGAGATCTTCAGTGTAATAACAAGAAGTCGAGTTTTGGAAAGGAAGAGACTTTTATAATATTGCTTTAGCAGAACAGAAGAGATTCTGGAAACACCTATGCATTTATTAAAATTTAGAATATGATAGAAATGGCATCAGGAGGTGAGAAGATAATGGGACTATTTAACAAATGATTTGGAGGTATTTTGTTCTCCAAGGAAAAAAAATAGACCAGGAACTATATGCAAAGGTAAGATCTAAAGGGATTAGAAGCAGGACTATGACAAAGCTATATATACTAAAATTATGACCTTGGGAGTAGGGAAACATTCCTGACAACAAAAATCCCTAGCAATTCTCTGAGTTTCTATGCTCAGGAAATATATACCAGGCTATATACTGTGGCATGATTTGTAGTAGCCATAAATTGGAAACAACTTAAATGCCCATCAGGAACAAAATGGAAAACAACTTATGATGGAATACTGTATATCTGTAAAATGTAACAAATGAGATCTACATGTATTACAGAGAAGGATCTCAAAAATTAAGTTGAGGGGGGAAAATGAAGTTGCAGAATGACACATATAGTACGATGACATTTTTGTAAATTTAAATTAAAACTTCTTTCACAAAATTCAGTACTATATATTGGTAATGGATACATATATGTATGTATGTTTTTAAAATGTTTTTGAAGTGGGTTGGAAGGATACAGACCAAACTCTTGATAGTGGTTGCCTGTGAAGAGTGGAGTGGGGAATGAATGGGGAGGGTTAGGGTAGGGATTCATTAAAGGGGACTTCAGTTTTATATATAAACATTCATTTCTCTTAAAAATGAAAAAGACTGCAAGTAAATATATCAAAATGTTGGATAATTCTGGGTTATGGTATATGGATATCTTGTCTTATTTTTTGTACTTTTCTGTATTTTTAAATTTTCTCATAATTGATAAGAATGGGGGTGAGGATGGGAACACTGTACCTATAGAAATCATGTTCTAATGGATTCATTCCCAATCAAATACTAAACTTTTTATAGAAAATATTTCTAAAATTTTATCAATGATGAGTTGATGGACTTGCTCTCTATGTAATATGAAATAATCTATTTTATTAAAATTAAAAATGACAGCATAATCCAAATCTGTTTTATTTTTACGTGTTATAGTGTAGACTATATGGTCCATATCTTCACATTTCTAACATTATTTTGCAACATATTGTTTGAGCTTAGACATTTTTGAGAACTTTAGTTAAATACAGATACATGCACATACTTCATATAAACAGAGTTTGAAATTTCAGTTTTCTGGTCCTGTGAATTTCCATAGGAATAGCATGGGTTTTAAACATGTTTTTGATTTTTTCATTTTTAAAGAGAAAATCGTTCAAGTTCTCAGAACTTCCCCCAATTCGAGTTAAATGCCAACACCTGGATCTCACCTGTAACCTATTGCATGTCTCCGATTGCTTAGACAGACACTTTTTTTTGTTGTTTTTTCTCCCAACATTATTGAGGTGTAATTGACAAAATTGTACAGTATTTCAAGTGTACAACATGATGATTTGATATATGTATACATTGTGAAGGGATTGTCCCCATTGAGTTACTGTTAGTTTCTTTTACAGAGGTGGAAAGGATGGGATGGGTATGATGAGAAAAGTGGTTCAGACCCTTGGCAGAATTCTATTGTGAAAACCAGTCCTTCCTAAAGATATTTTTTGTCTGGTCCCTCATCACAGTGTAACTTGATATAAGTACTATTATTAAAGGTTTTCTTAAATAATGGTGAACATCAGCAATACAACATTTGAGGTTGATTTCAAAACCTTTTAAAAAAGCTCTTAATCTCAGTTAAATGCCACGTTACTCTGTATCTTTTATTAGTCTTTTTGGAGGAATGACCATGACTTATATACTTAAATATCCACATGAATCTTAGTCCTTCCTAACATGAAGTCCCCACCCCTCTTTTTTTAAAAGATTTTATTTCTCCTTTTTCTCCCCAAAGCCCCCTGGTACATAGTTGTATGTTTTAGTTGTGGGTCCTTCTGGTTTTGACATTTGGGATGCCGCCTCAACATGGCCTGATGAGCGGTGCCATGTCTGCGCCCAGGATCCCAACTGGTGAAACCCTGGGCTGCCAAAGCAGAGCGCAGGAAGTTAACCACTCAGCCACAGGGCTACCCCCCCCCCCCACCACCACTTTTTTAAAAAGGGTGTTATGTACTAAACCTACTGAGGAACAGCACCAAATTTTTGTACACCATTTAAAAATTGCCTCCATTTGTTACTCTTAGTACGGAGAAACATTCTATGTAAAGATTTTAGGCATAAGACATGTTTTCCTAAACTACTTTTTTTTCCCTTAATCTCTCATGCTTCATGTAGCTCTTCTACCTCTGCTTGTGTGTTTGTGCGGCTTCAGAGTCAGCAGAGTAAATGACAATCCTGAGGCTAAGACAAAACCAGGAGAATATCTTAATGTGTCTATTTGCCATGGCCTAGGACCCCCTCCCCCACCCAGCAATACTCACTGTGTTGGCTCATAGAAGAAAGTTGAATCTGTAGTTCAGAATTACTGTTTTTACTCATGTCAGGAGGCAGATGATCTGAACTCTCTAAGTACATGTATTTTACTCCATCCTAATTGATAGAGTGTAGATATAAATGACTTGACGGTTGGACACCTGAATCCTCATTAGTCAAGATTTATAAGAGAAATCTTGGTTAATTCCACATTGCCTGTATACATATTAACTGCTATCTTATATAATTTCAAACCATGTGAAGGACCACAAAACATCCTCCTTTATTCTTACCCTCAGCCTAACAAAACCCCTAAAATGTCCTAATTTTCAGTCATAACCTTGCATCTACTGTTAGGTATTCCTTAGTTGTGTGTGTAGGCAATACCATCTCTTGGCTTTGCTTGCATAAGTATTTCACATTTAAGGTGTTCTGTGTTTAAGATACTATGAACAACATAAACTATTATGAAAACCCTGGCTTCGTAATTTTACTGTTTACGTTCACTGACAAATAACAAGGTTAAGCATGATTTTGTCATATAAGGCAATAACCTGGCATTTGTTTGGCTCTACTTTTTTTCCCCCAAAGTATTTTCATCTAAATCAGTGGTTCTTAAACTTGAGTGTACATAGAATCACTTAGAGGGCTTGTTGCTGAGCCCCACCTCCAGAGTTCCTGATGCAGTAAATTTGGAGCGGGGGTTGCGAATTTGTGTTTCTAACAAGTTCCCAGGTGATGCTGTTGTGCCAGGGACCACACTTTGAGAACTGATCTAAACATTTTTATCCAGAACAGCTCTCTGGTAGATGACAGTATGCATATTATTTCTCTATTTTAATATCTAGAAAAAATGAGAGATGAGCAGCAAACTCAGTGTTTTACATCTACTTAGTGGTAGAGCTAAGACTATGAAGCAAGTTATGGCTTTTATAATATTTCAGTGTAATAGATGGGAGAGAACGTTCTTGTGAACTTTTTTGACGAATATTCGGCTATTGCCTATTACATGCCAGACATTAGATAAATGGTGACCATCAAGACAACATGCTCGTGCCCTCTTGAGATCTTACTACTACTTTTGCATCTGGTGGGGGGAAACATTAAGTTTTTTGTTTTGTGATAAACGTAATGAAAAAATAATGCACTAATAGGAAAGGAAAAAATGTTGGGAGATGTACTTGAAGATACAGGCATGGAGCATATGCTGTAAGGGTCACAGGCCTTTGTGTCAAAGGCTTGGATTTTCATTTTTTTAAGATTGGCACCTGAGCTAACATCTGTTGCCCATCTTTTTTTTTTCTCTCCCTTCTCCCCAAAGCCCTCCAGTACGTAGTTGCATATTCTAGTTGTAGTCCTGGCCCTGGCTGTGTGGGATGCCACCTCAGCATGGCTTGATCAGCAGTGCTAGGTCTGCACCCAGGATGTGAACTGGCAAAACCCAAGGCTGCTCAAGTGGAGTGCGTGAACTTAACCACTCGGCCACAGGGCTGGCCCCTTGGAATTTATTCTTAAGGTGTTATGAGAATTTGCCAAAGGAGACTTGAGTATGGCAGTGACATGTTTGACATTTTGACAAGGTCGCTTGATGCTCTGTGAAGAGTGGATTGAAATGGGAGCAAGAGTAGAGGCAGGGCGACCATTTTAGGGGCTGCATAATTACTGAAGCAAGATGATAGAGGTTAGGACAGAGGAGTTGCATTGGACATGGATGGAAATGGATAGGTCTGAGATTTATTTGGAGGTGAGCTGACAGGACTTACTGAGGTGCGTGATAACAAGGGAAGACGTTAAATTCAGTGCCAACTTTTTAAACTAGAACTGGCTAATGAAGATGTTAGGTGGCTATGGAGAATCAGTTTGGGAGGGAATAAAATCAAGTTGGTTTTGGATACGTTAGGTGTGAAAAGCTTGTTTGACACTAAGTGGAAATCAGGGGACAGCTCAGTAACTTCAGCCTTCAGATAGTATTCAAGATGGGTGATAGGATAAGATCACTTAGGCAAAGTATAAATATAGAGAAAACAAGAAAGCCTAGGTTTCTGCCTCGGCACTCTTCCAACATTTAGATGTCATGCAGAGGAAGGAAAAGTAGCCAATCTCCTATGCTAACGAGGCAGGAGGATATCTAATCTAGAGTGTGGTGTCTTAGAAGTCAGGAGAGCCATGTGGTTCAAGATAGAGCCAGTCATACTGGTGATTGCTACTATAAAATTGAATAAGATGAATACAGTGTCCTTTAGATTTGGCAAAATGTAGGCCATTGTAGGTCTCTGTGGTGCTCTGCGGGGGTCATAAACCAGATTGGAGCAGCATAGGGTAGATTGATGAGAGCACGGCTCTGCTGTCAACCTGCCTGGTTTTGAAGTCTTGTCCTGCCGTTTTTGAGGCTTTCTGCAAGTTCTGTAACATTGTGCCTCAGTTGCCTTATCCGATGCATCATCTTCTCATAGACTTGTGAGGATTAAGTAATAATTCACATTAAAACCATCTTTGAACAGTACTCAGCACCTAATAAATGATCAATAAATGTTTATCATCATTAGATTGAATTAAAGACTGAACATAAAGATAGGAAGAGGTGATAGCAAGTGTAGACTACTCTTGAAATGTTTTGCTGGAAGCCCAGAGGTGGGTCAGTTTGAGGGAGATGTGAAATTAAAGAAGGAATTTTCAGTTCTTCGGTTTGTTAGTAGATGGAAGATACAGGGTTTATTTGTAAACTGATGGCCCAGTAAGATAACTTCAGGACAGAAGTTTTTGAGAGGCCAAGAGAAGATGAGCTGTTGCATAGATGACCAGTTAGTGGTTGATAGGAACTAGGTTACTTTCTCTGTGAGCAGGAGGGAAGAGAGGATATAGGTGTCAATGGAAACAGATCTGAGAATTTGGTGATGGGGAGAATAAAAGGAGCCCCTATGGTTAATCGTATTTTCTCAATGAAGCATCAGATGAAGTTTTTGGTTAGAATAAAAGAAGAGGAGGGAGTGTGCAAGATTTGAGGAGGTAGAAGTTTTTTTTTTTTTTCAGTAAAAATTCCTTTTTCCTCATGAGGCAACTCTCATTTCAGACATCCTGAAGATGTGTCCAATTTGAACTGCAGGCCCTGGGGATTTTGTGGAGTTGACTTAGAAGATTCTAATGGTGGCTTTTCTCCAATTGTTATTTTCTACCCTAAGATGACTATCAGACTTAAGAGCTTTTTGTTGACATCTTACCACATAAAAGGAAATTTTGAGAGTATGTTATTGAGTAAAAGTTCATTATGAGATTATTATCCTACAGAAGTGAAGATAAAATGCAGATGGTCGGAATAGTGAACTGTGAAGCAAGTCTGCATTAGCTGGGTAGAATTAATTAGTATATGGATCCAGGGAATTCCTGGCTAGTCTACATCAGGAATCTTGTAAAAAATAAGTTGATAGGTAAAACAGGAGAAAATACTGGAGACCAGACTAAAATATACCCAGGGTTAAATATTTATGCAAAAGAATTTTTAATATAAAATTTTGATTAAGAATAGTGATTAAAACAATGATAATGTCTACTTGTGGAGTTAACACAAGGACTAAAGTTTTGAGAAGCAAATTTTCTTAGCAAGTTCTTGGGATA